TGTCCCCATTTTGTCTCTCATAGTTGAGGTATACCTATGCTGAAAATTACAGGCCTCTCTCATCTTTTTAAGTGGGAGAACTTGCACAATTGGTGGCTGACTAAATACTTTTTTGCCCCACTGTATGTAACATAATACATTATAGCACATATAAAGTTGTTGATGGAGTCTGCACAACACACAAATATGCTTGGCTTATTAGTTTGTGTCTCAATGTGTTCTACATATTTACTTATTTTTATTTATTTAAAATACTTATATGGCTACCCATCTTATGTACAATAACCCTGGGTGGTTCACTGCAACAATAATAAAACAGAAAAAGAAAACAGCAATGCTAACATCAGATCTCATGGTGCCCCAACACCACAACTCCCCTGTACATTTGCGGGGCTCCAAACTCAATCGAGCTGAATGCTTTCATATTCGACAAACATGGTTAGGTTTTGGTTCAATATGTTGCGTAAACCCAAGCAATTTGGTTAGCATGTTATGGGAGTACTAAGCTATATTATGGTTTAGTTTGATATGTGAACTAACCATGATTTGCTACTCCTCCTCCCCTTCTTTCCCCATTCTTTGTACAGTGTTGAATTAGACAATGATTTTAACTTCTTTTTCTGTCTTTTAATAGACAGTTTCAGATACTTAATAAGTTTTAAATGTCAAGTATGGTCAACAGGATTAGAAAAGGCAGCTTTCCCCAACCCTTTCTCTTAATGAGGGGAAAATTCCGCTGATTGATTGTTGATTCTGATAGCTTTGTTAAAGCCACAGCATTCTTGTTCTACCATAACATCAAAACAACTCTTTTTTTCCCTCCCTTTCTCTCTTGCTTCACTCACAATATGCAGCAAATATAAAAAGATATTCCTTATGCCTTTCTCATTAATACATTCTCCAGCATCACGAAAGGCTGTTGTCTTGTTGATCTATACTTTCCAGCATCATCATAAAAGCTGGCGAGGTTTCTGAGAGGCATGCTGCTGCCAAAAATGAGGAAAAGAAAGAATAGGAAGCCAGTTATCCTTATTTGTCACACTCCTTGTCACAAACCCGCAGACATACATTCCCTGATCTTTTGGAGCTGACCATCTTCCTAAAAAATCACTCCACCGCAGGTCAGCACAGTTCGTAGAGGGGAAAGGGCCAGGCTGATACCTTAAAAATAACTGTGGGCCACAGAGGAGTAGCTGGTGTGCCAATCAGTTGTTTGGAGGCTACCAGTGCAGTAGCAGCAGCAATGGAGCTAGCAGTGTCCATGGGACCTGGAGGCACTCGGCATGTCTTTTGGGGTGGAAGTAACTGCAAAAACCTAGGCAGCGGCAGATCCTTCCTGGTGGTGGCAATATTTGGTGTCAGTGGATTGGTTATTTTTCAAAAAACACCAATGTAATAGTATGTGGGAATGACCTTGAGAGACGGGAGGAAGAGCCACAGACTATATAATGGTCAGATAAGAGGCAGCTGAGTCTGCAAAAAGAACGGGGGCATGGCAAACATCTCAGAAGGGACCCTCCTAGTTTCTTGGGCTGTAAAGATGAGGGGGGGAGAGATGTACTTTTAGACTTGCAAGATTCTGTTAATGTAATCTTACAATAAAGTTAGAGCTAGTACTTCTGGGTCTGGACTACCTCGCAAGCCTGACAACCAGCAGGCTGCCATATGTGTCCTGCGTGCCATATGTTGTGCAGGCCTGTTCTACAGGAATACCTCTACTGTCAAACTGGTCTTATGGAAAATCTTTGGTCTGAGCCACATCTGTGTACTTGTTCATCTGACCTGAGCCCATACAATGGAGTAATGCTTAGGAAAATGTGAACTAGGAAATATCTCTTCTACTTTGTTCATGAACTTATAAGGAGCTTAGAGAAGACACCAGAAGTGTCTGCATGACAAGCTTAACCCAGGGGGTTGTAAGCATATAGTACAATCAAAGATGCCTTGGTCAAACAGAAGCAACCAAAATCTGTCACTTCCTACCATTGTTGGTTTTCATGGAACATTTAGAAAAAACAACACAGTGGCCTGATGAGACCACTGCAGACAGAGGTGGGGTGGCTTACCATTCCCATAACCTTCCACCCTTGTTACCCAATCCATGAGGCAGTGGGAAGAGGGAGAGTGAAAAGTAGTATGAAAGGGGAAACAACGTTGGAACAGCACTCCTGTTTCTGTGGGCCATTCTAGGACTTCATCTGTCAGCATCAGGATGAGTTAACTCTCTGATAACTCTCTTATCCATGACACAACTGACTGAAAAAAGTTTAGTCCCACCAACCCTAGAGCTGTTTTGGGCTAAACCTAACACCTCCAACTTGTTGATAAATTTAACACTTCATATGTCACACTACCTCTCTCTTTGATTCAGTTAAATATGTCCTGTAAACAAGACTACTTATACATTTTTCCAGATTAGTCAGATTTTTTTTCTTTTCTTTTGGTGCCTGCTGGCTAGCAAGCAGCAAAGCTCTAGCTTACAACTAGCCTCTTCTTTTCATCTGAAAAATATTCAGGGATCTTGTCAGGCCCAGAGGCATTCAGGAGGTAGGAACGTAAAAAGATTCCAAGGGTGGAAGGTTATGGGAATGGTAAGCCACCCCACCTCTGTCTGCAGTGGTCTCATCAGGCCACTGTGTTGTTTTTTCTAAATGTTCCATGAAAACCAACAATGGTAGGAAGTGACAGATTTTGGTTGCTTCTGTTTGACCAAGGCATCTTTGATTGTACTATATGTTACCTAAGTTTAAAAAATGTTAATTAATATCAGGATGTCAAGGGTACCACACTGCTGACCAGAATATGTGGAGCTGCTAATCTTTTGAACTAGCAAAGCAAACTGTTCTCTCACAAATCTAACAATATGCCTAATTATATATACAACCTTGCACTTCCAGAAACACATAAATCGATCATACGAGAAACTGTTTCTAAGAGTTTATTTTTTCTATTTCTCAATATGTATAACGTTTTTCTACCTTCACATCCTCGTTCCCTAACAGAAGTGCAGCTGTTAGCATTGATGGGATCTCACTAAAACGTCCCCAAAAGGTTACATCTTTTGCTACATCTCTCTGTTTAAAAGGCCAACTTCCCTAGATTCATGAAAACAGAAGTGTGGTCTAAGCCCTAGGAGCATATTTCACTGAAAAAAACTTCCAACCAGAAGGGTAAAAGTCATATATGTGACTCTTCACGTCAGTCAAGAATTTAACAAATGTTAACCCCAAATTAAATTATATTTGCATAATGATGTAAGAATTGACTACACTGGAATTTACTGAAAAAACCCATGCCAAAATCTATAGAAGCTTTGGAAAATTCTTACCAGATACCCCAGGTAATTTCCTCTAGATTACACTACTTTTCAGTTTATAATTTCAACCATTCTTGACAATGACTAGGTTCACACACTGGTGTAAACCATAATATGATTTGGTTTTATGCAAAATTTAATATTCTTTAATAAGCCTTGACTTAGATTTATCCTGGTTTATGACCATAACAAAGATTTGATTTGATTTGAATAAGCCTTGACAAAAACGCAAGTACTTTTTATTTCTTCATTCTTTTTCCAAGACTACAAGTGAAACTTGAAGTATCGGTTCAAGAGAAAAGAAATGCTCTTATCCCACAAAACCTCAAATTTCTTTCTTAGTGAACAAAATGCTTTCTAAATGATAAAGCTAAAGCCATTCATGTTATCTTCCCCTTTACATGTTATAGAATATGCTTAAAATAAAGCAAAGCATCAAGTTGAGCTTGATTTCTGGTGATTTCATGGATGTCGTCAATTCTATTTCCTTGTCCAAAAAAATGGATAAGAACAAGAAAAGTTTCTTTTCTCTTGAACCGATACTTCAAGTTTCACTTGCACTCTTGGAAAAAGAATAAAGAAATAAAAAGTCCTTGTGTTTTTGTCAAGGCTTATTCAAATCAAATCTAATCTTTGTTATGGTCATAGACCAGCATAAATCTAAGTCAAGGCTTATCGAAGACTATTAAATTTTGCATAAAACCAAATCATATTATGGTTTACACCAGTGTGTGAACCTAGTCATTGTCTAGAATGGTTGAAATTATAAACTGAAAAGTAGTGTATTCTAGAGGAAACTAGAATGTGTTTTTGTCAAGTTTACTTCAGAAGTGACTTACCATTGCCTTTCCTGGAAACTCTTTTAAATTTCTCAGTCTAGACCTCTGCCCTGGTTGTGTTGACGATGTTGCCATTTTCACTCTTTCCTTTGGTCTCTCCTGCACTGAATTTGTGTCTTATATTTGCCCAACTCTACAATTAGCTATTCTGCATTGAAATAAGGGAATTTTTCCATTAATAGCCTCTTTCAGTACTACTGTAGGCTACTCTAGAAATGTGTATCACTCATGTATAATCCTGTTCAAATATAACATGGGAAATGCACAGCTTAGCTTAAAAATAAAAGTAGTGCACAGGAAAGGACACTTAACAACCCCCCTCCCCCTGACAATGAGCAGGAAGTGAGAAAATTTTCAAGAAAATCTGACCGTTGGATGAAATGTGAAATTTGAAATGTGAATGGACAGGATGCATTAAAACGAAACACATAAATGTTTTGTTTACAATTACATCTAAGTTTGACCCTTAGTTTTCAAGAGCTACTACCACTGCAAGATTGGAACTGGAAATTTCTGCCTCTCTCACAGCAGAGAAAAGCTCACAATATTTGCAGCAGCAGCAAACACTAAACATTATATACTTTCATCTTATTTTTGTGGAACAGTTCTTTATTTCTCTCCTCCTTTCTGCACTACAATATGTCTACAAAGGCAACTATTTTATCTGGAATGTGTTACCAGAATTTTTATGACTAGATACTTCAGGTGCAGGGAGGGGAAATGCCCTCATCTCTATAAAAGGGTAGTGTGACCTAATCAGTCTTAAGAACAATATGCAAAAGAGGAAACAGTTGCATATGAAATGTATGGCAACAAGGAACACAGCAGAGGACTTAATAAAGTACAGAAACGTAAGTAGAGAAAACATTATTTTTTCCACAGATTAATCTGTAAAGTATGAATATTAATCAAACATCAGTAGTTCATCAAAGCAAACAAATAAACTACCAGTGAGCTTTTATTCTGGGATTATAATTAGCTTTTATCTGAATAGCAAAAATATAAGGACTAATTATATCTAACTATAAAACTTTCATCATATGCAAAACAAAAAGGTCACAGAGCCTTTTTGCTTTAAGTTATTTTGTTTTTGCTCCAAAATAAACATTTATAGAATAAAAGGCAAGCTTTGGAATCCCCTTTCAGTTTTTAAAATGTCATATACTTCAGTCCTCCTCCATTAAAATATTTTTATTTTATCTCAGCTTTAAGAGGCATTAGACTTTTTAAAAAAAAATTTTTAATTTTTTTAATTTTTTTAATTTTTAAAAGTTTTACTGTTTCACTGTTTTTACTGTTTTATTGTTTTATTGTTTTTATTATTGTTGTGAGCTGCCCAGAGTTGCTTAAGATGGACGGCCATATAAAATTTTTAGATAAACAAACAAACAGATAGATAAATCCTGCTTTCTTTAGAATATTATATGTAGTCAAAGTTCTGCTCAGAAGCAAGCCTCACTGAACTGAGTGCTGTTTATTTCCATTTAAATTGGCCTTGGACCATAATACTAATTATATGTTGGGTTAATGGAATCCTGGAATATCTTTTTGGACAGTTAGTTGTACCAAAAATACTTGGCAGATCATTAAAAGGCAATATATTACAGGGGCATGATTCCACTTTTAGTAATAGTTTTCCTGCATTAAAGGCTGCAAGTAGTTTTGGAAGATGCTGGAATGGAAGAATATTGGTGATACTTATTTACATAACAAATTTCTATTCTAGGATAACTCCACTTTGGAAATTGTAGATAAATTCTTTTGGGGGAAAGTCATGGACAAGCAGGCAATCTTTGGATCACGTTATTGCTAATCAAGCTTTAATTCATCTGAGTTACTGCCAGAGGAATTTAGATTGCTGAAAACTGCCCCTGGAGTATATTCAGTTAAAGTCTATCTTGATTTCACAGTTTGATCCAGATGCATCAGCAGCATCTAAAACTCCGGAATTATTGTCAATATTGGTATGTAAGTCTTTTGCACAATATTAACAGCATATTCTTTTTTAAAAATGAACAATTAGTATAATTAAGGAGTATACTAGCAACAACTCTGGAATAACAGGTTGCAAATTCAGGAGATAAGGGGTTTAAAGAATATAAAACATGTTTCTTATGATCTTAAGATAAGAATTAAAAAAAAACAACTTTCAGGTTTATTGGGCACCTCAGAGAATGCTTTTAGAAAGTTGGCTGTCAACCTCAATATGCTGAAAGTGTAAAGTGGGTGAGGGGATACTTTCACATATGATACAAGCTTGTCCTACTCTTGCCCCATTTTGGTTTAATATCCACAAGATTGATAGTATGTTGTTACAATATGGCTTACAAATTTGAATGTACTCTTGAACTGTATATCAAACATTTGGAATTTATCACTATATGATGAGCTATGGCTTTACCAAGCATGGAGTTTCCAGCAAAAGATGCTGAAAATACAGTGCAGCTCCAGGATTACCATCCTGAATCAATCATATGTATTAACTTCTGCCTAATTGGTTTACTGACAGCATAATGGAAAGCTTAATCAGTATTATTCTGCATGATCAAGGTCTAATGATGGGCTTACTGACTTACTCTGTATGAAATATACTTCTCTTTTCTCTTATTTGTTCTTGTGATTTTTTTCCCCTTTTCCTGATTTTTTATTAAAGCAGAAAAAAACACACTATATCACATATATTTTACCTTTATGTTAATATTTATCATTTCCAAAATAACAATGCTCTTTTAAAAAAAAATTATTATATTTTTAAAAGGAGTTAAACTACAAAAATCAAGAAAAGGAAAAAAGAAAAAGAAAAAAGGGACATAGAAAAGAAAGAGTAGCTTCCAACTTTCCTTGGTACAAGTATAAATGTAAAATATATTTGCCTCTTACTCTAATATCTAAAAGTTTACATAATAAAAATAGTTTTCTAATATTAAAAAAAGTCCTAAAATCAATCTATTTCAATATATATAATTTGTACAAGATATTTCTATAAGTAAAACGTCAATCATTCATCAAATCCCAAGATCAAAATTGCATTTTTTGAGTGTCAAACAAAAAAATCTAAGAGGGGTTTCCAGTTAGAAACAAAGCCAGACAGTGCCCTCTCTTTGAGTAGTCAGTTTCGCCATCTTCACCAATCAACAATGCTCTTCTATAGTATTTATTTTCAGTGCATATGATATCGCTTCAGGGCATTTTATTCTGACAAAAACAGCAAATCTATCTTTCAAGAAACTCTCTTACTACTATACAGAAAACACAGACCCAACTATTTTGACAGCTAAATATCAGTTTAATGGACTAGTTAACATCTCCGGGTTATAAAAGTGTATCCCATAGTCATTAATATTAAAAACAGAAGTGCTGCACAGGCCAAAGGTTTAAAACAAGATGCCTGCATATCTCATAAATTGTTTTCATATAAACACAAATGGAATGATCTGCTTCTGAAATTTAAATAAAATTGATTTATTAACATTTTGAGTTAATAAAAGGATTCTTAAAAACCGTAAACATAAAACATTTTAAAATGTCTGAATGCCAACAAAAAGTGTAACTGGCTTAAGGGGGTCGCAGTGTATGCAGCTATATTGCAAAATGGGGCTCTTAAGCAGAGCAGCAGGCAAAAGAAAGCTGTGGATATGAAAATGGAGAGACTCCCTGCCACTCTTTATAGTTTTTGGGTGGGCAGTTCCATGTTAGCTAACAGACTGAGGTGACAGAGTTACTCTCCTAAGTAAGGTTTTACTGCAGTTCCTACTAGATGCATCTTTAATTTTTAGTTAAAGTTCTCTGTGTATTCTATTTCAGTTTTTCATTTTCAGGAATAAATCTATACTGTTAAACAAGTGTTAAGGGGGGAATTCCAAACCTGGTGTTGCACTGGCCCACCAATTTCCTTACATTTAAACTTACAAGTATTTTGTTCATGAGGTTTGGCCTTATTACATCAGACCAAGGAATCATAACCACTATTTCTATCTTTATGCATGATAAACCTATCCAGATGGCAGTGCTGTTTCTCATAGTGCAACAACTCTGCAAATGGATGCAACAACATATCCCTTCTAGCATTACAACTACTAAAATCCCACATATTAGAATTAATAGTATACTAACATTTGGAGAAAGCAGCATACTTGAAACCTGTTTTATATTAGGAGCTTCCTAATGCCCAAAATTAGAATAACTATGGCAATAAAGCCTTTCTTCCTTCTCTGCATTTGTTGTCCTTATTTCTCATCTCCTTTTTCTAAACTAATTTTAATATAAAAATACGTTATAATAAAATAGAAATCCCCATGCATCTCAACAGCCCTTATTCCAGAATAGACATCCATGACAGTTAAGTTCAAAAGTATTCTCACCATAAAGTGGACTAATATCCTGCTTACATTAACAATACTGTAAGAATGGTGTAATACCATTATGCAATTTGTTTGCTAATTGTACAGTACCCTAGACAGAACAAAATGTGAATCTTTACGAAAGCCTGGAAGTGAAAAGACATAAAACTCATTTCTGTCATTATAGCCAACTCCCTTGATGCTCATCAGTGTAATCCAATATAACTTAATTTTTAAGGATACTTTTAGTTTTAGATGATGATAAGGATAGTGAGAGTAAATAAGGCAGCATCCAAGCAAACTTCAACCTCAGCATCATCTTTACTTCCAAGATTATCTATAGGAGGCGCAGAGGCATGCCTAGAAAATAAAAATGGTGGATGGCTACAGACCAGCACTTTGTCTGCAAGTGCCTTCAACTGCTCTTCCCCCAGAGAGAAACAAGTGAGGGGATGAGAGGAAGCACCCAGAGAACTAGACCGAGTGCCAGGGTGCAAAAGTAATGCTTTGTGACTGGCCACATCCACCATGGCAGACTTATCATGAATATACAAACTTTTATGATAGGTACTTATGAGAATGCACACAATATGACCTCAAAATGCCCCCATTGGCCCAAAAATGCTGCCTGCCTGACTCTAACGTAACTGACTAAGTGCCAAAATCTGGTATAAAATGGAGATGGAGACTGCTTGGCAACATATATTATTACATTTTGGTAATAGTCCTTATTGTTCAACGAATTTTAGTACCATATCATAGCTTATTAATAGTTCACTATATTACTTCTGATTGCTTTTATTTTAAAAATTACTTTTATATTAGTTATTGTTATGCTTTAAAATTGTAAGCCACCTTAATTATTTTTTACAGTAGAAAGAAAGAAGGTATTTTTGATGAATATAATAATGAGCAGAGGCCTTTAATTTGAACACAATCAACTTAAGCATGTAAAATATTTCTAATATTGAAATCCTGTCAATGGCGAAAGGTTAACATTATCTAAAATAAAAAATCTAAATGCCACATAATTTATGCAGCAGCACAAATAGGATTTCAATATTTAATAGTGTTTTTACTACTTCCCTAATGTTTTAATCACTGAACATTCTCCCCTTAGTATTTATTTCTTTATTTAATCCAATTTAGGTGCCACCCATCTCCAAACTTATTCTAGATGACTTTGGGGGGGGGGGAGGGGGGGGAGCATTCTGTGGTACAGTCTC